GGTGGTTTGAACCTACCCAGCAGTTCCTTGGAAGAAAAGCAAACTGCTTCTGCAAAGACTACAGCCAAGCAAACCCTATGCAGTAGTTCTAGTCTGTAACACATGGAGTCACCAAGAGTCAGAACTGACTTGACAGCAACAGGGTTGTTTTTGTTTTTAATGTATAAATATATTCATTGATTGTTGAATATGTACATGTCTTCACATTCATTTATATATATTTTTTTTAATTATTACATAGAAAAAAAAAAAGAATAAATGAGGATGGTGAGCCTTCGTCTCATGTACTTTGAACATTAGACCAGTCCCTGGAGAAGGACATCATGCTTGGTAGAGGCTGAAGGAAAAAAAAAAGACTCTCAATGAGATGGACTGACAACAGTGGCTGCAACAGTAGGCTCAAACACAGCAACAATTATGGGAATGGCGTTGTTTCATTCTGTTACACACAGGGTCCATTATGAGTTGTAAACAACTTGATGGCATCAAACCACCACCACCACCAAAAAAACTATAAACCTTGCTATAAGGAATGATAGAGCACTGGTGGTATAGTGATTAAAGTAGTTGGCTTCTAACTGAAAGGTTAGTGATTCAAACCCACAGCTGCTCTGTGGGACAATGATGTAACAGACAATCTGTTTCCATAAAAATTTATAGCCTTAGAAACCCTATGGGGCAGTTCTATGGTGTCCTGTAGGGTGGCTATGAATCGGAATTGACTCCCGGGCAAAGAGTTGTAATGGAAATGTTTACAGTTGCTCAGAAAAGAATGTGTAACAAAGTTCTTGGAGAAAGAATTAGCCATAACAAACAGTGAAGGCTAAAATTATACAAAATATTTCTTTATCAGCAATGCTGACTCTCAAAACAAGCTTGAACTTTGTAACAAAAATTAAGATCAAGCAAGAAGACAAAAGCTGGTAGGCAAAAGGCATAAAATAGTAGTGGCAGAGCTGTGTAAAAATCTAAAACTCAGTACAAATAATTTTTCCAGCAGTAAAGTAAAGGGGCCACATATAACAAATCCCCCATCAATTAACCAGTTCTCACTGTAGCTTCGTTCAGATTGGCAAAACCTGGCCACCAGTGGGGTGATGATGAAATCATTACATCAATTCTCTCAAAGCCTTGCCCTACACATACACACACCCCTTATTCAAACAGTAATTGACTCTCCAGGGAGAGGAATTTATTCATTCTACAACTTAGAGATGCATTTGGCAAGCACTAGTAACACTTATCCCACCTTGGAGTGGGAGTAGGGGAAGACAGCTGCATCTACATCTGTCGGGTGTATTCGGTCTTCTTGACGGGGTGCTTTCGATTATGCAGCCAGGAAATAACATTCTCAAATTATCAGAGCCTAGTTAAATTCATGTTTCAACGTTCTGTACACAACAAAAAAAAAAACAGGTAACTGACTAAAGTAACTTTGAAGACGTTTTACGTGGACGTGGACGATACAGAAGGCCTGTAGATGTTTCCAGCAATGGTAATTTATGCACCACCATTGGTCGTGTTGCAATAAATTATATAACCAAATATTATCCCAATTGCAAAAGCTCTATGTTTGAAAAATAACCTTTGTCTTTAACAAAGTGTCCAATAAAACTGGGAAAAAATTAAGTAGAGTCAGATATTGTTCCATTCTTTCTTAGGCCAAGTTAAGAAAAGGATTAAAAGCATTGGCCCAGTGTGGGAAGAACATACATCTCCTATAAAGTGAATACCACCACCATGTGGAAGCTGCTCCTCAGAATAATCAACCATACAAGACCAAAAGGGCAGCATTTGCCCAAAAACAAAGATCAGAAAGCAAGAAAGGACAGGAAGGATGGGTTGATGGAAAAGGGGAGACTGGGGAGGAAGGGGGAAGAGTGCTGCTGTTACATTGAAGGGACTGCAACTAATGTCAAGAAACTAAACGTGGATAAATTGTTTAGTGGGAAACTAATTCGCTCTGCAAACTTTCATCCAAACCACAAGAAAATGTTTCAAAAAAAAAAAAAGAGCAAACTCCCACATTCACAGCCCTGGGTCAGCATCCCTACATTTGCGAGGGGGAGGGTATTACTACAAAACATTAAAGCTGTAAGGAACCTTCTCTCTTATTCCTCCATCAGCTGAAAAAGCCCCAGACATTTCTATCCAGAAAAGCTTAGCTTTTACTACCAATGCATCATGCAACAATGATTAATATTTTTTATGATCCTGATTCATTTCCTAATGTAACTTAATATAATCACAGCTCATTGAAAATTTAACTATGAATGATCAATTCCACTTTTCTATTTCAACATACCTTCAGTATACATTAGAATTAGAAAAATTTCGTAAACCATGGTTCTTTTTTAAACAAAGAATTCTTCAAAATTATGAGCCATCTGTATATTCCAGCCTCCAACGGAGGCCTGGAAAATAATAAATTCTTAATTTTTTACAACAAGCAAATTATGTTTATGCAAAAGATTACCTTATTCCGTTGACTCATTCTACCATTGTATTGGTTTAACTCTCATTTCTATACCAAAAAAAAATGGGGGGGGGATTATTTTTATTTCCATTAGAGTGGGTATTCTATTCAGGTTTGATCATGGTGTATGTTGATGTTGGAAAGACCTTATTTGTTATGGAAAGATATTTGCCACTTTTCAAGACTCTAAACACAGTACTACTTAGCCATGTAAATAAGAAATAAAGAACATATTTGAACATTAAGAAAAAAAAGGATTACCTTATTCCTTGCATTTTAAAAATCTACTATCCGCATCTATTTGTCATAAAGTTCTTGGAGAAAGAATTAGCCAGAACAAATAGTGAAGGCTAAAATTATACAAAATATCTCAAGACAAATGTTTTAACTTTATCAGCAATGCTGATGCTCAAAACAAGCTTGAGCTTTATAACAAAAATTAAAATCAAGCAAGAAGACAAAGCTGCCAAATTTTGTAAATTTCAGTCTAAAACAGACACATCAGGTTTAATGTTTTCGTAAGGTTACTGTTTTTGATACCAGGAGGAACTTCTATAGTGATTACAGACCACTACTTACTGAGCACTTCCTAACTCCCACAATTCAGCGCTAGTTTTGCAAACAATATCCTATTTTGTCCTCAAGAAGTCTTGCACAACAGCAGACACTACCATTCATTCACAAGATGAGATATGGAAAGTGATGCTCCCATGAAAAAATAATTTACTCAAGGTCACTCAACAGTATGTAGCAGAAGGAAGGCTCAACAGTGAGGATGCAAACTTAGGACTTCGAGAATTAAGCTTTACATCATACACAGACCATCTGCGCAAAAACCTAAATACAGAGCAGTGAGTCCCACCTGTACGGAGATTCCTCAAAGGGAAAAGCAATATTCTAAACTTAAAAAAGTAATTTCAAATAGATCTAAGGATGAAACCATTTTTTAAAGGCTGGATAGGGGGAAGAAGATATACTCAAGTAATTCTATAAGGACTCTGTTTTAAGAGCAGACAGGCTGCTCCTGACTTAACAGCCTGTATTAAAAAGAATCAAAAAGTAGGATCTTGAACAATGGAAGAAGTGACCGCTCTGCCTTGTCCACCCTCAGGGTCAAGCTGTCAAATCCTCATCAGTGCGACCACGTGCGGGCACCGGAGCATCCGGACTGGGTTCTACCCAGGATCTGCTTCTCGGACCCAGTCAACCACCTTCGGTCACCTCGCTAACCGTTCCACCACCTCCTGAGGCACAAATAACTGGAAGCATTTGTTAGAACGAGTATAAGGCTTCGCAAACTGAAATCTACAGCAAGGCTTCAACAACAGAGAAGGGTAGGAGAAAACAGTATAATTGTTCTAAGCAATCGTTCTACGAAGCTGGGAAGATTGAGGCAGCCATGGGGGGTGAGAGCAAAAACAAAACATGCTCGCCAACCCAAGTTATAAATGTATGTATTATTTTTTTAAACGAGCTCACATGCTGTGATACACGTTACTCGGAATCCCTCAAAAGCTCCTCCCCACTTGATGAGACAGAGGGAGAAGGATGGGGGGGGGGGGGGGGGGGGGCGGAATGGAGATTCTGCGGCTCCCCAGCCCGGAGTTAAAATACCGTGGCCTGGATACCAACACCTTGGGGATCAGTTTTATTGCCTTTCAGAAGGGTCTGCCTGCAGTCCCGGGGCAGCCGCCAGGACCTGCGCCCTCAGGCCCCGCGGGGACCCACGGAGCAGCCCCACGCACACCCTTCCCGCGAGGTGTTTTTTGAGACACCCGCTTTACGCGCTCCACCTTCCGGCAGCAACCTCCCCCCCCACACACACACACACACACACACTCTGTCGGGCAAGTAACCTGGTTAATCATTCAACTTGGACGACGTGGAATATTTTTTGAGGTCAAGCGAAAGGTTCACTCTAAGTTTCGCAGAAACCAGCCTTTGGGGACCCGGAGGTGGCAGTAACAGGAGGGGGGGCGGGAGGAGCGGCTGCTGGAGGCTCTTTGGCTCATTAAACACCTGATCTCCCCATGCGACACCAGAGACCAGCGCAGTGCGGGGAGGAGGGGGGACTGCGACCGAGAAAACGCGCGGCCCTTCCCCAAAACGTCCCTGCGCCCCAGATGAGGACACCCGGACCCAGACGCCCCCTCCCAACGCCGGCAACACCATGGCACCGGCTCCCCCGGAAGTTGGGGTGCAGCAGGGAAGGAGGAGGTCCCCGGACTCCTGGGGGGAAGGGTATGGAATGGGATAAGAGGCTCAAAAGACGCGCGGCCGGCAGCTTCGTTACCCTCTTTCTCTGAAAGGAAGGGGCGGGGAACCGGGTGCGTAGATACAGCAAGAGCCACCCAGGGACTGTTGCTCGGCGTGGGCGCGGGCGTGAAGCCGGAACCCCGGAGGGATCGGGTGGAGAGAGGGGGGTGCAGTCGATAGGGGGCCGGATAGCAGGGAGGTAGGGCATCCGGCAGAGCAAGCTGGGGGAGGGGAGGGAGGAAGGGGTACCCACCCGCCCCGGCCCTACCTTGTCCGGGAGCAGCTCCTGCTCGGCGGGGCGGGGGCGGGAGAGCGCGGCCGCATCCACGTCCCGGCCGCTCGGCGCGGCTCAGCCCGGCGACCGCCGCCGCCCACGCTCCATGCGCTACACCCGGGACTGGCGCCCCGGCTATGTCGGCGGCGGTGACGGCTCTGGCTCCGGTCGCCTCCGGCACTTGTTGCCGCTGCTGCGCTGCTCTCCCGGCTCCAGCTCGGGTGCCGCCACCGCCTCCCGGCGCCCCGCCCCGCCCCCGCCCCCGCCCAATCACGCCCGGCCCCGCCCCTCGCGTCACCGCCCCGCCCTGCCGGCCGCCCAGCGCCCCAAGTTTGGGGAAGGCCCTACGCCCGCCTGTCAGCCAATCCGCGCCCAGCACCCGTCCGGGCTCGGGCCCCCTAGGTTTCCGGGGACCCTCCCGGCCCCGTTACCCACACCTGGAAAGCAAACGCTTAAGGTATGAGAAGGGGGGGCAACCCCCAGGAAAGAGACAGCCCCCCTCTAGAAAAACAGGGCAACTCGAAACTCAACTACAGTCTATTGTAAGTCTGGTCTAACCTGCATCACTCAAGCTGCGCTTCGCCCCTCTTGCAGTTTGTCTGAGGCTGGGGAACTGCAGCGCCTGGACGAGTCCAGTGACCTTTTCCGCTTAAACTAGTTCGTGACTGGTCTAGACTGGACCCCAAGCGGTCCTCAAGTGCTCTCGACAATGCTCCCCACGAACACCAGGGTATGGTTCCACCGCGGAAAGCTGCGCAGGGAGGGGGGCCAGGGCCAAAGCAAGTTTTGACCTGTGCTCCCTTCCCGCCCAGTACCTGCAGCCACATTTCAAGTGCTCAGATAACGCCCTAGAGGCCCAGCGCCTTCGGAGCGCAGTGCATTCTGACACCAAACCCAGTGCGAGCCAGATCCGCAAAGGTGAGCCCGAGCCACTGTTGACACAACTTTGGGGTCCCCAGGTAAACCCGGCGCAACCGGATAGAGCTGTTGCCGCTGCTGCCTCCCGACTTTAAAGGCCTGGCGCTGCCGGCTCGGCCAGCGGGAGCTCCGCGGAGCTTTAGGCCAGGCCCAAGGTGAAGCTAGAAGCGGCCCCTCCTTTGCTTCTTATCTCTAGGGAAAGAAAGCGAGCCCTCCAAGTTATCAGACTGACGAATTGTGAACACCCTACCCCCAACTATTTGCATTTTTCGAGAGGCTCTCAAAGGCAGAGTTAGCCGAAGGGAAATAATTGCTAATGCAGGAATTTCAGGCACCTGTGAGCCCAGCCCACTTGACTCCGCGCCCCTGGTCTGCTCCGAGCTCTGCGGGAAAGAAGAGCAAGTAGCGGCTGGATGCTGAGAGCCATGTGGGTGCGGTCCAGAAACACGAATTCTGAGTCAGTGGCTCTGGGAAGGTTATGGTTTGCAGTCTTCAGACTTTTTCGCTTTTATGATGATCACATGATTCTTCTAAGACTGCGATGTAAAGTCCAAAACACAGGTCCAATTTTTGTATGTTCATAGAAAAACGTCTCGAAGGACGCAAACCGACTGTTAACCGCGGTTACCGCGGGGGTAGATTGGGGTAGGGTACGAGGCCTTCCCCAAACTTGGATTGAGGTCTGGGAAGGGAGAGACGAATTTAATACCCTTATTCACTTTGAAAAAGGAGCCCTGGTGGCAGAGTGGTTAATCTCGGGGCTGCTAACCGAAAGATCAGTTGTTCAAACCCACTGGCCGCACGGCGGGAGACAGATGAGGCAAGTCTGCTTCAAGATTTACAGCCTTGGAAACCCTATGGGACGGTTCTATTGTCCTACAGGGTCGCTAAGTGTCGGAATCGACTCGATGGCAGTGGGTTTGGGTTTGGTTTTTGGTTTACTCACTTTGCGCTTCATATTTCTTCATTTACGCTTATTTTCACAATTTAGGAAGCTAGTGAAACCATTTTAAAGAAACATAAACCTTGCTATCCAGGCTAATTACGACTCACAATGACCCTATAGGAAAGTGTAGAGCTGTCTCTTACTGTTTCCTAGGTTGAAATATTATGTAAGCAGACTGCCGCATCTTTCTTCCGCAGACTGGCTGGTGGTTTCAAACTGTCAGTTTCTTGGTTAGCAGCTGAGAGCTTGACCATTGCACCACCAAACCACCTTTTAAAGAAACATAGAAATGTGAAACTCATCAAGAACTCAAAAGAGACTGTAAATTGATCAGTAAATGCAGCCCATTTCTTTATTCTGTGTCAAAATAATTAATCCTGAGCCTATGCTTGTTGATTTAAATAAAGATATCTTTGTTTTGATATTCAGATGCTGTGATGGGACAAAGATAACCGAAGATTTTTCTATACCATCAGATTAGGGGCTGACTCTTCCGTATTGTTTCTCTGCATATGCGTCTTCCCTTTAAAAAGCACTGTCATTAATCACAGGCATGCTTTCCAACTGCTAGCCAAGGCGTTTTTAGAGGACCAGTAATAATGTCAGCTGGCAGCAAACAAGGAAATTAAAGCTTGCATCCTTCATAGCAGCCAAAAGCTGTTCAGCCTCTGACATTTAAAAAAAATGAAAGCATTCTCTCAACCCCTGCCATTAATTAATGCAGCTGGAAGTGTATCTGCAACAGTTACACTGTGTCTTTGGGGGAATTACTCACTACTAGATTCTACACCTGCTTGGGTATAGTTCCTACTCTTGGATTGGGGCCTTGGTTCATCATCTTCAGTAGGTGGCGATACATTATTCATTTATTCAACAAGTATGTATTGCCCACCTACTAAGTGCAGGGCATAGCACGAGGCATTAGAGTGATGAGCATGGCAGACACAACTCTTTCCTCTTGGAGCCCACAGTTGAGCTGGTAAAAGAAGGGCTTAACAATTAAAGACATTATCAATTATATAATTACAATTGTGGTATGAGTCACAAGGGAGTGCAAGGAAGTTTTGGACATTTGAGTTGAGTTCTGAAGGGTGAGCAGGCTTTAATCAGGCAGAAAGAAGAGTGGAACACTTTCTGGCTAGTTCAGGCTGTGAATGGGAAGGTGGTTGAAGTGAAAGTGGTTGTACAGATTGAGGAGCCCTGGTAGTGCATTGGTTAAAGTGCTTGGATACTAGCAGAAAGGTCAGTGGTTCAAACCCACCTGCTGCTCCATGGTAGAAAGATGTAGCAGTAAAGATTTACAGCCTTGGAAACCCTTACAGGGCAATTCTACCTGTCCTATAAGGTTGCTGTGACTCAGAGTCCACTTGATGGCAATGAGTGTGGTCTTGGGGGTTTTTTGTTTGTTTTTGGCAGTGAGTTTGGGACTAGATCAAGCAGGATCTGGTATACCATCTCCTGAAGTTCAGTATTTATGTTAAGAGTACAAGGGAGATGTTAAAGGGTTTAAGCAGGCCTCAATTGCTCAAATTTGTATTTTCAGTCAGATCACTCTGTCTATACAATGTAAAGAAGGAATAGGGGAGGGGAAGGAGTAGACTGTAAAGACAAGAGGCTATTGCTATAACGTAGGTGAGAGAGACTGTTTGTCTGGATTAAGTAGTAAAGCAAGTGGAAAGAAGTAGACACCGAAAGCTTTGGTGATTGCTCAGAGAAGAATTAAGGAAAACTCTCAGGTTTCTGCTTCTTCAACCAGATGGATGGTGATATCATTCTCTGAGTTTGGGAACCCTGGAGGGTGGGGGATTGAGAAAATCCTCCCAAATTCATATTTGGTCAAAGTGGGTTTGAAGTGCCTGTGAGATGCCCAAGTGGAAGTATTGAGAAAGTAGGGTTTAAGTAGGAAGTTAAAAAAAAAAAAAAAAAATGTAGGGGTCTAGTGGTGCAAGGCTAATGAATAGTAGAGGTGGTGATGAATCCAGGGGAGTGAGGAGGTTTCCTAGGGAAGAGACTATAGAATTAGTTTGGAAGAGGGCCTAGGACTGAGCCTTGAGGAATCTTTATCTAAAGGCCAAAAAGAAGCGAACTGTCTGGCAAAGGAGGCAAAGAAGGCATAGCAAGAGAGACAGGAGGAAAACTAGGAGCTCGAGGAGGTGGAATCATGGGGTCTAAGGGAAGAAAATGTTATAAGAAGGAGGGAGTAGTAAACAGCACTCAAAATGGCTGAGAGGCCCAAGTGAGATGGAAAACTGAATAATGGCCGCTGAATTTAGTGACCTTCATGTTATTGGGACTTTTACAGAGCAGTACAATGATGGAGTAAAAGGGATGGGAGATAGACAAGTGGATTAAGGAGTGAATGAAGGGTGGAAAAATGAGGGGTGAAGAAAGACATTGAAAGTTCTGACTGTGAAGGGCCAGAGATAGAAGTAACTGGAGAGGAATATAGTGTCAGTGGGGGGTTTATTTTATTTCATTTGTTTGTTTTTTAGGTGGAATAACTTGAATTTGTTTAAATACAGAAGGAAAGGATCCCATACAGCACAGGAAGGTGAAGGTACAGGAGAGAGGACAATAAAAGTTCCTGTGACCATGGGAGGGGATGGAACTAGAGTATGGGTAGACAGATAACCTCATAAAGGGGTCCACCTTTATTATAAGGGAGGTGGTTGAATGAAGACTGAGTCAGGTGTGGGAAGCTAAATGGTTTTACCTGATCACTTCCTCTTCTACTGTGACGTCTAGGAGATTGGGAGTGGCCAAGATGGAAAACTTGAAGAGCACAGAGAAGGTATGTCAGTGCAGTAAGTGGGCAAGCTGACTGGGCTGGATGGCAAGGTAATCCACTTGAGGTTGATGACTCTGGACTTTTAAAAGTGCCCTTTGGCTTTTCTGTGTGGTTTCCTTCAGCAGAGCTCATTTTGCTTGGGTGCAGGCTCAGAAAAACACTGGAGCTGTTGTTTTACAGGTGAGGGAACTGCTGGGGCAAAGAAATTGAGAGCTTTGACAAGAGTGAGATTGACACGACACATGATCAGAAAGAAAGGACAGAAGTCAGTGAGCTACAGGGGGTCAAAGAGGTCAAGACCCAGTCAAACTGGATGATGAGGTTGGATCAGAGATCTAATGCTATACAGCCTTTTGGACATGGTTCAGAATAAAGGTTCAAAATTAAGTTAGTGGTTCAAGAGGTGGGTAAATTTGGGGTAATAATAAAGCAGGGTGGGAGCTCTGGTAGCATAGTGCCTAAGGCACTTGACTGCTAACCAGAGGCTGATGGTTCAAACTCACCAACCACTCCTCAGAAGGAAGATGGGGCAATCTATTTCTGTAGTGAT